CGCTCCCATCATCTTCTTCTTCCTCACTCGCCCCAGGGGGCGGGAAGATGAGAGATCCTGAGAACGAGGTTGGGGGAAGGGGGGGTAGATAGAGACGAACGCATAAGCTTTTCCCGACAAGGCAGGGGGATGGGGACATGCTTAGCATCAAGAACTAGCGCGTACGCATGACAAGCGCGATAAAACAAGGGCACATGATGTTCTCGCAATCAAAGTATATCTGGTAGAAAATTAACAAATGGTAAACACCACAGCGTACACTACTGAGTTATAGTTGCACGCGGGAGGTTGCTTAGCACGAAAGAAGCGTAAGAGTCGCGCGAAGCGATAGCCGAGAGCGACTCTAGCTTCGTGAGTGCTAAGCAAACCTCCGAAGTGCATCCATAACTCAATAGTGTACACTGTGGCGTTTACCATTTGTTTTATAACATAACATTGATACACTTAAGCAAAAGAGTTCTCTTTTATTTAACAAATCTTACGTGACCAGAAAAAAAAAAGCGCGCGCGGAAAACTATTCTTTGCATTTGCTCTCGTCAGCAGCGTCCACCCATGGGCAAATGGTGTACGCTGAATTGATCAATCAGAGCGCGCGCTTTGCTTTGGCTATGCTATAAAAGCTATTGGAAGACAAGAAAACGCCTGTGGGACATGGGCCGATTGAACTCTAATGCTTGTTTAAACACCTTCTGGACGCAAACTTCGAAAATAAACTCTTTGAAAAGTTATTGTAAAGAGGAAGAGAGAAGTTGGGCTTGGAGTGCCAGTAAAGTACTGCGCTTTGACAACGAAACCCCTCCTCTTCCCCCAAACTCGTTCCCGGGGTCATTCATCTTCCCGCCTCCTGGAGCGAGTGAGGAAGATGAAGATGATGGGGGCGGGAACGATTCGTCTATTATACGAATAAACGCCACATCAGTGCCCGTAAAGTACTGCGCTTTGTCAACGAAACTCTGCACTGCGAGAATTATAGAGAGGGAGCGTAGTGTAAGAGCATTGAAGTGTGCTCACTTCGAACTGAAAAACACTGTTATCAATGGAAGCAAATTTCCAAAGCTTGAGTAAGCTGATCTACCGTCCATTGTTCTCGTGTTTCGACCATGTTCCTTTGATCTTCAAAGGAACTGATCTTAGTAAAACATTGTTTCAATTAAGGAAAATACATTTTTTGAGCTTGCTGAAACTAGATTATTACTACATTTGCTTTTTGAGTCAATCATACGAATAAACGCCACATCAGGGAGGCGTTTATCAATGTTTCTGTTCTAAAAAGCGGCGTTTATTCGAGAGCGGCGTTTATACAAGGGCGGCGTTTTTTCGAGAGCGGCGTTTATTCGAGGGCGCCGTTTAATATAAGAAATACGATACTCTTAGTTGTTTCATGCTCTAAGAAGAGTATATGAGCACAGGTAGTTCTGAGCCACCTTTTAAATTTTTAATGGCCTTGTAGAATTCATTTTCGTACCCAGAGCCTCTCCTTAATCTTTAGTACTTACATTCCACGTGACCAGAAAAAGAGGACTCTGAGAAAGAGAACGCTAAGACTGAACCCTTTGATGCGAGTTGTGTATGTTTTGACTAATTTTTCTTTCCCACTGACAGTCCGTAAATCTAATGGAAAGGATGTCGTGATTAAATTGTGCGGCCAACGGGAACCATTTTACCTCACCTGGAGTGGCGATCGCTTGCGAATTTCCATAAAGTTTACATCAAACAACGACTCGTTTGTGTCACGTGGATTTGTGGCGGGTTACATCATTTATCAATTGACAGGTAAAGACCGTGAATGATAGGCTTTTCCCCAACTGACCCTAGCCTCGCTATTACATCGTTACTTCCAAGCCGATGGTCGCTTCTGCAAATATAGACGAGCTGCGGAGGACTGGGAGAAAGCTCAGTCTTTTCCAGCGTTTGATCATATTGTAAAATTTGGCATCAACTATTAGGGAACACGGTGAATTGAGGGAACTAGAACGATGGAATATGTAAAAGAAATATAGGGATGAGATAGGCATCTGGTTTGTTATGTAGGTTGCAGAGTTGGTTTCCAGTATGAAGTCAGTTACTTTCTCTCTCCTTTCTCCACAGAAAAATCTACTGGTAG